CCCCTTGTACACTTGAGTGTTTCCAGAAAGTGGGTGGTCTAAATGTATTCTTTTACACACAGTATTTAGAAAAATAAATAACTTCAGTAAAGTTTTGATGCAACATTTTTACTTTTTTTCTGATAATTTTGGACCAAAGAGTTAATTTTCTATTGTCTGCATACAAGTCTTAATCTAAGGTTTGGGAAAATTATGGAAAAATTATGTGGATATAAAATATGTGACTTTGACGTTGAGTTTAAAATGATGACTTTGTCTGCAGCCATGTGGTGAAAAAACCCTGGCACTCTCATGAAATTGTTTTTTATAACTTTCTGTTACTTTTTTAGAGATAACATTTTTCTATGTAAGCTTATTAAACTGAATTCTGTGTTTTTGGTAACCCAGTGTTTTTTCTATAAAAAGACGGAAAGAAGAGCACTGCATTTCAGCGGCGCCACCAAGTAGGGGAGATAGGGTTCTCCCTACCAGGGTGTGGAGTTTGGGTTCTCTCTACCAGGGTGTGGAGTTCTTGATAATTCTAAGTTAAAATGGAGCATTCAGAAAGTGTTGACCTACAAACAGTGAGGTGGTAATTTTACAAAATTTACTAGTATTGTTTATATGCTGTTACCACATCATGAAATCCACAACTTGCAAAATGCGTGCTGGTCGGTGCCTAATTATATCTACAATTGGATTATTGTCTTGGTCAGAATCGTTTCTGTAGTCGTTGTTAATTTTGACCACTGGTTGGGCTGACCACTGCTGACCACTGCTGACCACTGCTGACCAGTGTTGTGAGATCCCTGCACTTTCATTGGGAAATATAAAGAAAAAAAAAATCAAGAAAAATAAAATAAACCATTGACCACTCAGTATACCTCAAACACAACAACAACTTTTTACACAGCAATAAGTTAGATTGGTTGCACTTTCTTCACTTCCCGTGGACAGATTTGTTTGTTCCAAGGAAAGTTTGTAATTTGGTAGGTCGTTCTGACCATGATTATAATAGATTTCATTTGTGTGTAAAATTAGACTCTACGTGTTGTTTGTGACGTCAGAGATTCAAATGTGGCAAGTCCATCTAGTCAAACCACTCACTGCACTCCATTTCAAACCATCTTTTTGGAACAGTGCATTGTGGTGTACGGTAACTGTGTGAGCATATCTGCATATTACAGATGCTGAGTTCAAATCTCGTGTTTCATGTTTATATGTTGATATATGTGCCTGTAATTTTGATTTGCTCAGCTGTTTTTATTTCCCATTTACTTACACACTTTATATTTCTTATTGATTACAGATTCCCAGCAAGAATGGTATCTCCGCAACCATCCTCACCTTCATTGGGGTGTCTCTG